CCCTCCCTCCTCCCTTCCCTGGTGCTGTGGGTGGACCAGTCCTTTTTATTTCAAGACAGGCTCTCACTGAGCTGCCCAGGTGGACCTTGAACTAGTTTGCCCTCCTCCTCCCTCACCCTCCCGAGTCACCGCGACAACTAGGTGGTCCACACCTGGTTTATGGCGAGGCTTTTAAGGAACTACCAGGTTGTTTTATCCCACCAATGCAATTCAAAATGTCCAGTAGCCGTATTAAAGAATGAAAAGATCCTGGCAATGCAATCGACATCTCCTTCACCCGCTCCACCCAGGCAGGGTCCACGGGGAGTCCCTGTGTCTCACCAACCCGGTGAATTTCGCACCTTGTTCTAATGCTAATGCTCCAGTGACCAGTGTGGAATAGGTTCTGTCCAAAATAATGAAGTTCTGTTGAATGGGGGGAATTTTTATTTGAAAAAAAAATTAAATTTAAAAGTTGTTGGACTCCGTGGTACACACCTGTCATCCCAGCAGCTCTGGAGGCTGAAGCAGGAGGGTCCCAAGTTTGAGTCCAGCCTCAGCAAAATAAAACACATTGAATAAAAAGGACAGAGATTTAACCCAGTGGTAGAGTGTCCTGGGTTCAATGTATATGTGGGGACCAACGCCCTGTCTGGGAACTCCTGTATCAGGCGGAGAATTTTAACCATGTAGGGCATGAAGCCTAAGTTCTAGGTTCCTAAATAAAGATTGCTTCCAGCCAGGTCCAGTGGGCACACCTGTCCTCCCAGAAGCTTGAGAGGCAGAGGCAGGAGAATGGCAAGTTCAAGGCCCACCTGGGCAACTTAAATAAAAAGGGCTGGGGATGTGGCTCCGTTGTAGAGCACCCCTGGGTTCAATCTCTATGACCACACCCACAAAAACTGCTTCCTTGTCTGATAGTTTGGGTCACTGTTTCTTAAGCAGGTTCCCATGCTTTTGGAGGGTCAGCCTCCACCAACCCTGTCTCCATTGTGTGGCTGTGTCTATGCCTGTGTGGTGCTGTTGATCATTTTCACAGCTGCATAGTATTCCTTATAGGGAAGGACCCTAGTTTAACCAGTTCCCCCTCATGGGCTCGTAGCCTGTTTCTGTATGCCCGTGCATGTGTGTGGCATCTAGATGTTTCCCACGGCAGTGCAGTTCAAGTTGTGAACAGTTATTGCTGGTTTCCATTTCTTAGAAACTAAAGGGCAATGAACCAAGCCCCAAGAAACACACAGGAAGCCATGTATGCAGTTAATATTTTTAGTGTAGACAGACACCATATCTTTATTTTTATTTATTTTTTTCATGTGGTGCTAAGGATTGAACCCAGGATCTCCCATGTGCCAGGCAAATGCTCTTCCCCCGGGCTCCAACCCCAACCCATGCAGTTGATATATTTCTAGTACCATATTTAAACACAATATTTTTGGTGCTGGGGATTGAACCCAAGGGTGTTCTACCACTGAGCTACATCCCCAGTTTGCAGAGAGTCTCACTAAGCTGCTGAGGGTGACCTTGAACTTGACGTCCTCCTCCTTCAGCCTCCTGAGTTGCTGAGATTATAGGCATGCATCAACATACCCAGCTGCCATTTTTTAAAAAAAATCAAAAAGACATAGTGAAAATAATTTTAAAAATCTACTCTTCTAGGCACAGAGACACACAGGTACTTGGGAGGCTGAGGAAGGAGGATTGCTTGAGAGAGTTTGAAGCCAGCTGGCGACTCAGGACACACTCAGCTTTCCCCTGGATGTGCATAGAGGCCGGAGGGCTCAGGTCCTGCACACCCTCGCGGCTCCAGGGCACCCGCAGTCTCCCTCCCTGTGAATCCCGAATGCTGCGGGCCGATTTTGGTTTTCATTTTAATTTTGAAATAGCTTTTGTTGTCCAGGAGAGAATGCTGGGTTTAAAATTTAACCTTGAACGTTGCTCGGACACAGCGTGGAGGGGCTCCTCAGTCCCCCGCTGGACGGTGCCTGCGGAGGTCTCCACCTGCGGAGAGTCCTGGGGCACCCGCGGCTCTGGTCCGGCTCGGGGGGCAGGGCAGGGGGGAAGCCGGCAGCCTGGAGGGCAGAGCGGGTCAGGATCCCCCGGCTCTGCCTGGCGGACTGGGAAGGCCCATGGTGTTGCTCTGGGCTTCAACTGGCCGGCTCCAGGGCCACTAGGGGCAAAAAGGGGCAAGGCTGGGGTCTCGGTCTCCGCCTCAGAGGTTGGAGTCTTGGGTCTGGGAGCACCTGGCCACCATATACCCCTGTTGAGGTTCGTGGCTGTCCTCACTGCCCGTGCTGTTGTGGTTTGGGTCATACTGTCCCCTAGTGGCCCTGGGTACCAGACACTGCCCAGGGCGCCCTCCTTGAGGCGAAGGGCCCCGGCCCAGGTCCCTCCAGCAGCTGCACTCTGCGGTTCACAGGGGCACCCGGACCTCAGCCCCGCCCAGCTGTTCACCCCAGCCTCCGCCCGCCCACCCCTCGAAGGTGGGTTTCCTCCTCCTCCTTCAGGACCTCATCCCCAGACCCTGTGCCCATGCTCTGGGCCCCGCGGCCCTCCCCTGGCACTCCGGCCCCATAGCGCCAAGTCGCCAACTGGCCCGTCTCCAGAACAAGGCCCACCCGCGGCTCCTGTCTGGCCCCCACTCCTGGGAGCCGGCACTGCCCGCCTGCTCAACTTCCTTCCTCCACCGTGGGGAGGGCTGAGGGCCACATCTGGGCTCCGGGATCACCCTGCACGGCCTCACAGGGCAGAGTGGCGAGCTGGGTGAACACGAGTGGACAGGAAATCAAGCTGGGGTGGGGCGCGTGGTTCGGTGCAGAGCACTCCCCCAGCACCAGTCAAGGTCAGAGGGCACTTCCCCACCTTCCCGGCAGCGGCAGGCCTCCCTCTCACCTCCGGGCTCCACCGGGCCATCTCCTCAGCCAGCAGTGCCCTTGCCCCGGCTCTTCCTGGCGAGCTCTCGCCTGACCTTCCAGACCTCGTTCACTCCCGCCTGGGTTCCAGGAGCTCCTGGACACATTTATGATGGACACTCCTCTCTCCAGACTGGAGAAAAGTCTGGGAAAGACTCGGGTCAAGGTGGGACCTGCGCTTCCCTGGGCCCCCTGCCTAAGGGCGGAGTCCCCTTGCCCTGTGGCTAGAAAGAAGTGGACCCGGGGCCAGGTCTCCTGGTCTGAATCCAGCTTCGCTTTGCCGTCTTGGCCGAGAGCTGTTTGGTCAGTTTTGTCATCTGTGAAACAGGCACAGTGGCAGGCTCCATGGGGACCACCACTGTTATCTCTGGCAGTCCTGAGGGTCCCTCCGCGGGGTCCCTGTCCTCAATGCCTGTCTCCTCTCTTCCCGGCAGCCTCTCCACCATGGAAATGCTCCACCAGGCCAAGCTGTCCTGTCCCTGGCGCCACTACCTCTGGGGGCTGCTACTGCAGCTGCTGTTGGCTCTGAGTTTCTATTCCTACCTGCGGGTGTCACAGGACAACCCCACTGGGCCTCCTAGGGCAGGGGTCCCCTGCAGGGAACCTGTCCCCACCGCTGCCAACGGGTCAGCAGGGCTGGCCACCTGGAGCCCCCCTGCCGGCAGGTCCCTCCTGATCCTCCTGTGGACGTGGCCCTTCCATACCCCTGTGGCTCTGTCCCGCTGCTCCAAGCTGCGGCCTAGTGAGGCCGACTGCCAGCTGACCACCAACCGAAGCCAGTACCCCCGGGCAGACGCCGTCATCGTGCACCACCGGGAGGTCAGCTACTCGCCCAGGACGCAGCTGCCACCGTCCCCGCGGCCGCCCGGGCAGCGCTGGATGTGGTTCAGTATGGAGTCGCCCAGCCACTGTCCCCAGCTGCAGGCCCTGGACGGGCTCTTCAACCTCACCATGTCCTACCGCAGCGACTCGGACGTCTTCACGCCCTATGGCTGGCTCGAGCCCTGGCCGGGCCCGCCCGAGCCCGCGGGGCTCAACCTCTCGGCCAAGACCGAGCTGGTGGCCTGGGTGGTGTCCAACTGGAGGGAGGACTCGGCCAGGGTGCGCTACTACCAGCAGCTGCGCGCGCACCTCCCGGTGCACGTGTTCGGGCGGTCGCACCAGCAGCTGCCCCGCGAGGCCATGGCGCGGCGCCTGGCGCAGTACAAGTTCTACCTGGCCTTCGAGAACTCGCAGCACCGCGACTACATCACCGAGAAGCTGTGGGACAACGCCCTGAGCGCCTGGGCCGTGCCGGTGGTGCTGGGCCCCAGCCGGCAGAACTACGAGCGCTTCCTGCCGCCCGACGCCTTCATCCACGTGGAGGACTTCCCCGGCCCCCAGGCCCTGGCGCAGCACCTGCGCGAGCTGGACCGCGACCCCGCGCGCTACCTGGGCTACTTCCGCTGGCGGGAGACCCTGCGGCCCGTGTTGGGCAGCTGGGCGCTGTCTTTCTGCAAAGCCTGCTGGCGGCTGCAGCAGGACTCCAGGTACCAGACGGTGCCCAGCATCGCCTCTTGGTTCACCTGACTGGCCGGCAGGGCCTCCTGCCCGGCCACCGGCTGGGACCTGGGTCTCTGGAGGCCTCCTACCTGGAACCAGGCCTGCTGGACATCTCTGCTGGCCTGGCTGGGCTCCAGGGGCCTCCCCTGCTGGGGACTTTGCTTGCCCCTGCTTGCAGCCCGGCCTGGTGGTCCACCTGGGCGGCCCAGGACCTTGCCCTCCAAAAAAAAAAAACTTGGCCCTGGGGACCAGGCTCCCTGGGGGTCCTGTCCTCTGGTGACTGGCCCATGGGCTTGTGACATTACTGCCTGTGGGGAATGCAGATCTTGTCACCGTTTCCAGATAGTGATGCTTCAAGAAAGCAGACGTGTCCCCTCCTTGTTCTAGAATAGCGGCTCAGTCCAGGATGGTTCTGTCCCCACTAGGTGACACTTGTCAATGTCCAGAGATATTTTTGGTTGTCACATCTAGGGGCAGAGAGACTGTCCCTAGGCCAGAAGTACTCTGATGGCCCTGCAGTCCCAGGAGGCTCCAGCCCCAGATGTAGGTGGGAGAAGCTGCTCTCAACCTCTCATGGCCCCCAGTCCAGCCCGGGGGGGGGCCTCCTGGGGGGGCTCTGGCAGGGTGAGGAGGCCGCGGCAGAGGGGTGGAGGGCCAGGCGGGGCTGGGGTGCCAGCACAGAGGTCAGGTCCCAGGAAGGCTGCGTGTGTGTCCCAGATCTCCATTCTGTCAGGCGTGGACCACGCCTGGCTGTGACACTGACTCGGTAGGATGTCAGTGTCCGTGTCCCGACCATGTGACTGTGGGTGATTCCGTGTGCCACGGTGGTCTTCTGAGTAGGGGACTGAATGGGCAGGCCTGGGAGTGTCTCCGAGTGTACCGGGAGGGTCCCCTGCTCTGTGTGTGGACGTCCCTGGGGCAAGGCTGTGTACGTGGGTGGGATCCAGGGGCTAGGTGTGTGGAGGGCCTTTGTGTGACCCGAGTGCCGTCCTGGAGAGGCTGACCTGGAGGTGTGGCTCCCTGAGCGCAGCTTCTGGGGGAAATGTGATCCGTGTGTGATCCTGTCTGCAGTCCCTGGGTGGCGGTGGTCTGGTGGCTGCTGCCTGAGTGTGCGTGTGCGCGTGGCGGGTGCTCTGTGAGTCCCAGCCGGGGCTGCGGGCAGCTCTGTTTAGTTTCCAGTTCCCGGGTGGGTGGCACCAGAGACCTGCGGTGGGAGGCTGGGTGCCTGTGGCCGGGGAGGGTGCGGGTGTGCCTGCACACACGTATGCACACCAAGGCAGGCAGCCTCAGGGACCTGGCCCGGGCCTCGGAGCCCGTCCTCCCCCTGGCCCCCGGCCAACAGCTTCCCTCTCCGAGTCTCAGGTCTTTGGGGCAGCCGGGGGGAAACTGAGGCCCTGCACAAGCACCACGTGGGTTTCTGCAGCATCTGGGGACTCCAGCCTCTCTGCCCTGGCTGGGCTGAGTCAGCCGGAATAGAGCAGGAATCCACCACCCCAAACCTCAGCCAGAGACTGTGGGGGCGGGTGGGGACCCCAGCCAGCCATGGCTCTGAAATGGCCTTCCAAGCAGACCACCCACAGGTTGGGGCCTGGCCTGCTCTGAGGGTTCCTGGAAGTCCTCTTGGTAGCTACCTTGAGTCTCTTCCTTCAGCTGCAGCTGAGGGGCATGGAGACTGAGGAGCTGGGTGGCTCTCCCTGGCTGCAGCTTCTGATGGTGTCCTCTAGCCTTGTGCCAGGGACTGTGTCTGGGAAGGATGCAGGGATTCGAGGTGTTCATGAGCTCAGGGGTGTGGGAAAGAGGGGAGGAGGCCCAGTCTCGAGGAAGGGCTGGGCCTTTGGGCTCCCCATCTGGGGCATGTGTCCTTAGGAGACCGGATCAGCAAGAGGCTGTCTTGGAAAAGGGACACTGCACCCTCCAGAACCCACTCCCCATCTGAGGGGAAGGAAAGGAGGATTAGCCCCACCCCCGCAGCCTCCCCACCCCCAGACCGTGGGACCCACAGACTCTGGGAACACAACACCCCCGCGCTGTCGGGGCCTGCCAAGCGTCAAGGTGACACCGCGGCAAATCCAAACACCACGCAGAGCTTTTTCCATCCTCCGCCGGGGCTCGTCGTAAATCCCCCTTCGAGGCCAGTCCAAGGCTTTTATGGGCCCAGGACCCGGGTCCCTGGGGACACAGCTCTGCCCCAGCAGGCGCCGGCTTAGGTCTGCATGGGGCTGGCGTCGCCCTGGACCTGTCCCCTCCGGGAGGTAAGCGGCATGTGGATATTTTTAGCTGGTGGAAGGAGATAGTGGCTTGAGTTGGCGCTGGTGGAGGCGGGACCAGACCTGAGGAGGCCCTCTAGGCGAGGGAGGTCGGGGTACACCTAGACCTCACTCTCTTCACCCACACGGTGGCTCCACCTTCCTCTATCAACCCCAAAGCCCCCTCTGTCACCTCAAAAGCATACGCTGCGGGGAGGTGCAAATGGGGACAGGCGGAGGGGGGCAAAGGGACCTGCAGGGAGACGGGAAAAGCGGCCCCTGTGACCTCACACCACTCACCTACTTTCTTTTTCTCTCCCTTCTTTGTGTCAACTTTTTCCCCCAAAAGCAAAGGGGAGCCTCCCTCCACCCTGCAGGTGGAACCCCTACTTGCTCCCCTTCTCTGGATGGAGACGGTGCCCCTCCCCACACAACCTCATCCCTTCTTAGTGAAGAGCCAGGCACCATTTCCCACACTTTATCTCAACTCAGTTATCGCGAGAGTCTGTGGGCTCGACGGCATCGTCCCATCCTCCCCCCATCCTCCGCGCAGAGCACGTGCAGTCTGTTTCCCTGCGGGCCGCTGGGTGCCGTCGGGGAGCGAGGGCTTGGGCGCCCATTCGCCGGCCAGATGAGGTAGGGTCACACGCAGGCGCACTCGCGCGCCGACAGCTCGCGCACCGTGTGGTAGCGGCTGTGCACGTCCAGGAAAGACACCTCGTCCTCGTAGGCCGTCGGGCGGCAGCAGGGCTGGGCGCGCACCCGCTCCCTCCGCACGCGCCTCTGCTGGCGCAGGCGCCGCAGTCCCAGGTCGTAGACGCGCGCAGCCGCCTCGCACGCGCCTGCGCAGTAGCGGAACAGCACCGTCTCGTCCGACGCGTAGCCCAGGCCCAGCTCGCTCACGCGCACCTCGAGCTCGCGCAGCCCGCACGGCCGCGTTCCTGGTCGCGCACGCGCGCGTCGCCGCCGGGGCCCTGCACGACGGCGCGGACCCGGCGCCCGGCCGGCCCAGGGCGTCAGCTCGCGCAGCTCCACCGCGTCCGGGGCTCCCTGCAGCAGCGCACGGTCTGTGAGGGGAGAGAGGACGGAGAGGTCAGCGGGTGGGCGCCCCTTCCCCCGCTGTTCCCCGCACAGAGGACCCTTCCCCTCACTCCCACATCCCGATTCTCCCGCCCTTGCTGCTGCCCGCGCGCCCATCTCTGGGCTGCACTGGGGCAGGTGCACACTCAGACCCAGCACCCCTCTCTGGACCCCTGCCTCTGTGACGGGCTGCTCAGAACCAGCCTCACCCTTTCTGGGTGTCCAGGGCCACTTTCTCCCCCACTCCCGTTGAGTTGAGCTGATTGGGGCTCCTCTTCCCCCCCCACCATTGCTGCCCATCTCCCTTTGATCCATCTGCTTGCCTAATTCGATCTGACCCCCATCCATGCTGCACTGCTCAGCTGCGCTGAGTAGGTAAAACTATCTCTGGGCCCCACCCAGAGCCTCTTCCCCTCTGAGCCTGGGCTGTCTGCCTCCCCGTGCTGCTGCGCTGTGCAGCAGGTCTCAGTGTCCCTGCCCAAGAAACCACAGTATTTGGGCTTCTCAGAACACAGGGGAGCAGCAGGTACTGCGCCTACTGCCTGGGTACCCTGTCCTATGGGGTGGCAGCAGTTACGGTCAGCTCCACCCTCTTGTTACAGGGGAGGAAATGAGCATCAGAGAGGTAGAGCTGTGCCCAAGGTCATCCACTTAGCAGGTGGTGGTGGGGGGAGGCAAAGGACATTCTCTCTGCTTCCATCAGTTGTCCAGCCCAAGTTTGGCCCAATCCCAGCCCTCTTCTCCCACAGTCTCCAGGAGGTGCCTGAGTCACAAATTCCCAGGACCCTGAAGCCTAAATTTATTACCCAAGTGACTGGCCCTGCCCCAACACCCTGCATCCCCAGGAGAGCAGTGCAGATGCTGGGAGGGATGGCAGGGGCGGGGGAGGTGGGACTGCAGGCAGGGGCCTCCCTACCCCAGAGCAGGTGGCAGTCACAATGACGGTTGGAAGGGAATTCCGACTTTAGTCCTGCCCCAAGGCTGCTGCACCTGGCTGGCAAAAGAATGAGCTTTCCAGGAGGGTCTAGGAGGAGGGGCTGGCTGCTGGGGTGTCTGTTCCCAGCCAGGACCTTGGAAACCAGACGAACCTGGGCTCAGACACTCGCTACTGAAGCTCCAGGCAGGCAGTGGCCCTGGTTTCCCTGTCTACTCAAAGAATCTTGCATTGTCCCTGTCCTGGTAGGGACTGAAAGGTGGGAACAGAGGGACCCCTGAGCTGCACAGTCCCAGCTGTTTAATCGCAGGGTGGGGACAGGGTGCATAAGGCTTTCAGTGGGGCTAGGAATGAACCCAACCAGAGCTTAGAACCCAACCAGTATTGTCTCCACCCCAGAAGTATGTCTATGGGCAGTTATTCATGGGGTTCACAGATAAAATACTGATGCACAGTTGAACCTGAATCACTAATAAATAATTGACAAACAATCTTTTAGTGTTTGTCCCTGCCTCCCTCCAGCAGGGCTGGCCACTTGCACGGAGAGGAGATGCCCCATCCACCTCCCCGAGCTTGAAACCCCACCATCTGTGCATCAGCTCAGGGCCTAGAGCGCTGTGGCTTTGGGGGATCAATGCCTCTCCCTGGGACCGGATGCAGGGCAGGCAGGCACCTGCCCATGGAACCGGGACCCTCCCTGGGGCTGAAATTCCACCAGGCGTGCTTTGCCCCAGGTCTGCAGCCCTGGCTTTGGGGGGCTCCGCCCAGGTCTCAGGGACCCAGTGTCCTAGAAGACTTCTCAGCTCGCAGGGGTGGAGTGGAGCTCATGCCGGGGGCTGCCCTTGTCCATTGTGAGGACAAGAAAGGAGGATTGTGTGGGTTGACAAGGGCGGGCGCAGACTTGCCCTCACCAGCTCTCACAGGCACCACGCACGCGTCCTACAGCCCAGCCACCCACGCAGGCACACGCGTGGGCATGTGCACTGCACACAGGGGAGGGCCCTCGCACAGTCCTAGTAGCTTGGGGCACCAGGGACGTTGGGCTCCATGCCTCCACAGTGCCCCTCCGCTGTCCCCCCTTGTGCAGGCCTCCTGCCCCTGGTGTTTCTGTGGCTTCGCACCAGGCAGGTCACTGGGGCTTTGGATCCAGCCTCCCTCTCCCGATCCCCTGCTGCGCTGTGGGGGCCGCCTGGGCCGAATGCCTGGGTCTAATCTCCATCTGGCCCCCACGGTCCCTCAGGGCCAGAGCCTAATTCCTTGTGACAGCTAAGTCCAAGGACCCCGGCTCCCAGCAGCCATCTTTCCCCACGGGCCAGGCCCAGGGTGGTTGGGGGGCACTTGTACCTCCTTCACCTCCATCTTGAAACACAAAACTCCGTGACCCCTTCCAGCTCCACTGCCTGCAGTGCCACCGGATGGCCACCCCACATGGGGGATCCGAGCCAAAGAGTCGGGGCTTACACTGGGCCAGGCGGGCGATCCGGGCGTCCAGGGTGCGAGGCGGGCGGCGCAGCGGGGCCAGCGCGGGTCCCAGGTGGTGGCTGAGCAGCAGGCCTTCCCGACACATCCAGATGGATAGCACGGAGCTGCAGAACACCGAGGCCAGGGCCGCCGCCTTCCAGCGCTGCATCCTCGGCCTGTGGGCACGGGATGGTCAGCCGCCTGCCCTGAGCAGCAGTGGGCCAGGCACCCTGAACAGTGGGGCCCCTGACTTTGAACACTGCATGCTGAACGTAACTTCGCCATGGCTCATGAAAGAGCCAGTGCACAAGGCTGTGCAGGAGGCTGCCCGAGGCCAGGTGGGCTTCGTGCCAGCTGCAACGAACTCCAGTCCCAGAGTGTTTTCCTGAGTAGCTGATGGTAAGTGACACCAGGAGCTTACAGCAGGAGCTGGCCTAGGGGCTGAGAATGATGCGTAGTGGGGCAAAGGCCCTGAGGCTACACAGAGCTTGGTGTATTGACTGCAGCCATGAAAGGAGGAGGGTGAGAGCATTCCTGAAGGTGGCACTGTGGGACAAAGGTGGGGAGGGCAGCAGGAGCTTATGACAGAGTACAGGCAGGAACCCAGGTTGAGGCCATTCCGCCACATATGTATGTCCCAGAGCGAGACTCCCTGCTCCTTCCTGAGCCTGTTTTCCCACCAGGCAGATTGAACTGAGGCGCAGACCCGGCAGCCAAGGACCAAAGCTGCCCAGCAGCCCAGCCCGGCCTCCAGGCTCGGCTCGGGAAGTCTCCCTGCTCTCCTTCCCCTCGGGCAGGGTGGACTGCGCCTCCCCTGACATCCGCAGCCACCGCAGGGGTGCCTGCTGGGTCCCCACAGTTCCCTGAGCTGCCTCCACGAGGGCACTGGTTGCTGGAGCTGTGGCTCCTGCGTGCAGCGAGTGCTCAGCGTCCCGCACACCCCCACCCCGGCTGGGCGCTCCCGGACCCAGGGCGGCCCGGCCGCGTTTACATTCCCGCCCGGCAGCCTGGTGTCGTCGCGGCGCGGAGCCTGGCGGCCGGCCCGGTGTAAACATTTACACGAGCCCGGACGCCGGGTCAGCTCCCGGCCGCTCGGCGGGGCTCGGGTCCCCGGGCGCCCCCACGCGCGCACCGCGAGCCTCGCAGGCCGCTCCAGCGCGCGGGCATTTAGCTGCTCGCGATTTGCGTTCATTTGCATGTGATTTGCATGAGCCCGGCCCTGGAATGGCTCCCCCTCCTCCTGGCATCCCACCAGCGCATGGATGCACATGGCTGCACCACCAAACAGTACGCAAGAGGGGATTTTCATTAAGCTCCAGTTGTATACCAGGCCTGATGCCAAGCCCCCAGAAAGGCACTTGGGTCTCCCATTTTGCAGCTGGGAAAACTGAGGCGCAAATGGGGACTTGCCGCTGTCAGTGGTATTGCTTTTCTCCTTCTTCTCTTGGTGCGGGGGAGGGAACCCACCGTGTCGGGTTTGCCAGGCAGGCCCTCTACCACGGCCCACACCCCAGCCCTGCGCAGCCGTCTCTGGCGGGTGGTGTTGGTGGGAGTGAGCTCTCTGGTACCCGGTGTGTAAACAAGTCCTGGACCAGTCTGGGGGTCTGATAAGAGTCACCCTGGAGAGCGCGCCTGGCACATCAACGAATGGGAGCTGGGCCTAGGGTGGCTTGGATCCTGGTCCAGGGTCCAGGGTTCTGTCCGCCACTCTAGTCCAGCACCAGCCCCTGGCGGAAGGCCACTGCCGCCTGCGAAGCTCTGCTGTCTGTCTCCTGTTGGCCTTGCCTGCAGGGTCCGTCCCCACGGGTGTCCACCCACTCACCTAAGGCAAAGCGGGCACCTGTGGTGCCCAGGCCCTGAAGACTCTGTGGGACCAAGACAAACAACATGCAGAGAAACATGGTGGCTGGGGCGAGCCAGCCTGTGGAGGACAGAAAGGAAAGCCAGGTGACAGAGGGAAGGGAGCGAGGAGGGCAGCGTGGCCTTGCCCGCCCAGACCCCTGCTCACCCCTGGCAAGCACCTGCTTTGGGCATCACCCCTTCTACACACGTCCCACAAACTAAATCGTTTCATCTGACAAGAGCCCTAAGGAGCAGGTGACACCCTTGTCCCCATTTTATAGATGGGAAACTGAGCCCAGAGGCCATGTGACTCGCCCAAGGTCACAGCTAGGATCTGAAAGCTGGAGGCCTGACCAGCAGGAAGGGAGACAGGCAGGGAAGCCCGGGACTGAGCCCTCCCAGCCGCCAGCCCCTGCTCGCCCCCAGGCCACGTCTGGGAGTGGCGCACCTCAGTTTCCCACGAGGTGTGAATACCCAGGCTCGGGGCTGTGTGTGCAAAGGGCTTAAGAGTGGACTGAGATTGAACCCAGCTGGCCACAGGGGCCTGTGGCCTTGGAGCTGCAGACCCCCACCCAGGCTCCGGTGGGGGCAGGGAAGCAGGACCGCTGTGGAGGGGCCCCGCAGGCGCGGCCGATAAGCACCTTAACAATGGGCCCTTCTGTCTGGGGGTCACCCAACTGGTTTGTCTCTGGCACAGGCCCGACGGGAGGGGGTGCGGCAGGTGTGGCAGCGGGCAGCGGAGGGGACCAGGTGTGCACCCGTGAGCCTGTGTCACACACGCCCAGCCCTCTGCTCCCGCACGTGCCCCATGGCTCCCACACGAGCACTTCACACACATGCGGGAGCTCACCACGCCCTGCACACAGCTCCACACCCCTCGCTCACACTCCAGATCTGCCACACCCACACACAGGTGTGCTTCCCTCCCACACCCAAACCCCACTGTGAGCAGGCTGAGTGGTCCCCAGCTCAATGCGCTCCTGGGCAGCCCCGCACACCACATTGCGCTCACGCCTGCGCGTGCCCCAGACACAGCCCCGACTCACTCCTGCACAAGGGGTGTCTGTCACCCTCGTGCCCTGGCCTGGGCTGGGCCTGCCGGGCGCATCCGGCTCTGCGTCCCAGCCGCGTCCTCACACGCAGGAGTGCACAGCTGGGCTGCCCAGGGCCTGAGCACGGGGCCTGGCCAGCAGTCTCTCCTGTCCTGGGGGCACGTCCACAGCCTGAGAGCTCTTGCTGACGAGGAGGGGTGCATCCTCCATTGGGGCCCTGAGGGCCCAAACTGCGGCAAGGCCACCACTTCTGGCTGGAGGCCCTGACCCTCCGGGCCGAGGCAGGGGAGAAAGAGGCCCGGAGGGGAGGCAGCAGGGCAGGCCCAGACGGGAGGAGCGGGCAAGGGTGTGCGGGGTCCCTGGCGGGCAGTGTCCTGTGCAGGTTGTGTTCCTCCCCACCCTCTTGCCACACTCCCCAGGGGACATCCGCCAGGCACAGCCAGTCCTGGGGTCCAGCCTCTGTCTGGCCCCATGGCTGCCCCCAGGGAGACAGGAGGAGGGAGGGGCGGGTGGGCAAGGGGCTGTCCGCGTCTGGCAAGCTCCTGCTCATCCTTCAAAGTCCTGTAGCCCCTCCACCAAGACGCCTCCGCCGCACCTGGCCCTCCTAGCCACAGGCCTCCTGTGCCCCCAGCCCCAGCCCCATCCACGCTGGCGAGGATTTCAGGAGGGTCCTCGGGGGGAAGGCTTTGAGAGTTGGGCCTGTGGAGGCTGGAAGGCGGGCCCTGGAGTCACAGCAGTGCCCTTTCCCTCTGCCCATGCCCCGTCCCCTCAGTGACTCTTCCTCAGTAAGAGCCAGGGAGTGCCCCGGGGCGGACCTGGCTGGGGGCTCCTGGGGATGCCGCTGCCGGGGCCGGTCAGGCGGGGGTCGCGTGGGCTGGCGCAGGAGGAAGGCGCAGCTGGGCCAGGGGCAAGGTGCTGTCCCCACGGGGACGGCGGTCTCCCACTTGAAGGGCCCCTTCAGTGAGGTCCTGCAGGCTTGATGGTGGCAGCCCAGGGCAGGGGCCTGGGGCCCCCGTGCCTCAACTTGCCTCCTGATGCCTGTTTCCTGGTCAGCGCTGGCACTGAGGGGCGCTGGCGGACACGTAGGGCAGCCCGGCCGCCCCTTCGCCCTGTGGCCTGGGGGGTTCCCTGGGATTCCGCTGATGGGAAACTGAGGGGCAGGACTGGCCAGCGGTTGGGGCCTCTCTCAAGGAGGACACCATGGCTTTCAAACAAGAAACAAATTCCACAGCCCACAAAAATGTGCCCCCTCCCTCGGGGGCCAGGGCCCAGCCCCACCCCGCGAGAGGACGAGACGGGGCAGTGATGCACATCTGGGGGCAAACCAGGAACATCTGCAGAGCCCAGCTGGTTCGAATGCAGCATCCGCAGGCGGGGCGGCGGCTTGTGTCCCGTCGGGCCTCTCCCCCTCGCCTCTCCCAAATAGAGTACCGTGCTGCTCCACTGCTAGAGCCATCGTGGGCTCCCTGCTGCCCTGAGCATCAAGGCCCCTGGTCGTCCTCGGGGGCTCTGGGTCTGTCCATGCCACAGTGAAGCCGAGGGATGCAAACAGGGACACTGGCCTACGGGGAGGCCAGTGACAGCCGCTCTGTGATCATCGTGGCAGGACATAAAGCTACACCGGTGCCGTCCCCAGTGTTCAGGGCAGCAACGACAGCAGGGTGCCATTTCACCCCACGTGGCCGTGGAAAACCCAGGTCCCGGAAGCCAGTGGCCTGGCTCTGGGCCAAGCAGCACAGGGCTCAGCTGGGCGGGCGCGGGGGTCAGGCGAATCCTACGCACCCCTCAGAGCCCTGGCTGTCCACCCCCTCCTCACACTCTGAGCCTCGGGCCCTGTGGCCTCACGGCAGTGAGCTCAACAGCAACTTGACCTCTGGTGGCTGGGGCCAGGTGCGGTGCAGAGTGCTCTCTGCTGCTGATCCCTCTCGGCCTGCAGAGGCTCCACACCGTTCCCCACTGGGAGCAGCTCCGCAGTCAGGGGACCGCTTGTGGTCAGAGCAAACAGGAGTCCACCAGGGTTCGCCTCCAGGGAGTCCACTCTGCTGGGAGCCCGCCCAGCTTGGGAGCGGGGTGAGGAGTGGGGACGGGGGGCCAGGCCCTGCGTGCAGAGCCCAGAATAGGGACAGGTTTCCTCAGAGACACACAGCAGGACCCGGCAAAGAAAGGACCAACATGCCAGCACAGGTCTGCTCCTGACACACCGCAACCCAGCAAACACTTATTCAGCGCCTACTGTATGCCAGGGACTGGGATGGGGCCAGGGACACCCTGGGCCCGGCTGCCCTCTGGTGGGGGAGACAGACAGACAGAACAAGGTGAAGAGCTATGGCACAGTAGACATTGGCTGCCCGCGGACCCCAGCAGCCCAGATGGAGTGACCAGCCGACTGCTCCCAGGGGGTGGCCAGGGCGGCTTCTCAGACTGGAGGTTTGGAGCTGAGGCCTAGGGGACGGTAAGAACTGGCCAGGTGACCTCTGGGGAGAGGGTTCCAGGCAGAGGGAACCGCAAGGCGGGGCCTGGAGCTAGGGATGTGCATTTGAGGCGACCAGTGTAGCTCCAGCAAGCAGAGCCAGGGGACAACATGGGACGCTGAGGTCAGAGGTGACAGGAGCCCTGTGGCTCAGGATCGGCTGCCCACCCCCTGCCCCAGCACCTGGAGCCTTCTGTTCCTGCACCCCACACCGCAGGTGTGCCCAGGAGCACCTCTGTGTGCCAGGCCACCAGCTTCTTGGACCTGCTGGCCGGCCCTCTGTGTTGGCCCATAAAATAACCACCTTGACCACACGGGGCAGGCCCGCTGGCCCCACAGCGTCTGCGGCTGGCAGGAGGGGGCTCGCGGGGTGGGATGACAGGATCAGCCTAATGAGGCCTGGCACACTGAGCAGCTGGCGCGGGGCCCAGCGGGCAGCTCCGGAGACGTGGATCTCCCAGGAGCAGCCAGAGGACACCCCAGGAAGCCATCACCTGAGAGGGAAACCGAGGCCCTGCCCCAGGGGCCCAGACCCTCATGCCGAGGAAGACGGGCACCTGGGCTGGGGTGTGGCTCCAGCGGCAGCGCGCTTGCCTGGCATGCGGGCGGCCCGGGTTCGGTCCTCAGCACCACATACCAACAAAGATGTTATGTCCGCCGAGAACTAAAAAAGTAAAAATTTGGACTCAGGTCCCTGAGGCACGTGCCACTC